GCTGTGCGAAAGCGAAAGAGGAGTGTTAAAAGGCTGACTCTGCCAGACAGGAGTAAACAAATCAGGCAGATGCAGCCCCTCTGCCTCCCCAGGTCTTCACTGGACCCTAACAATGGCTGGGGTGCATCTTTACTGAGTGACATCTCTGAGATTGGGGGGTTGTCTTTACCGCCAGCTTTATCATCATTACACTTCAGCCATCCCCAAGAACACTTGTTTTGATCCCGGGCTCTAAAGTCACTTTTGAACTTTCCCACCAATGTTGGCAACTCCCTTTTGCAGACATCCCTGCCTCCTAAGAAATTCCTTCCTTACCCACCCCCAAGGCACATACCAGACATTTTTTATTCTCCACAGAGCTAGGGCTACACCCACTGAGCTATCTTCCAGACTACTGAGTTAACGGTCTTCTGAGGACCTCCTCTTCTTTGCTTCTTAGTTCCTCAGAGGAACCCCAGATGCTCTCTGAGGGCTCATCCTTGTTTATTGAGGTTCCACACCTTGAGTCTTCCCTTCCCCTCCCCGTCTTGTGTAACACCTTAGCAAATCCAGTTGAATCCACCTTGTTCTCTGTCCACATCCCAGCCACTCCCTTGATCACCTACCACAACTTCTTAGCTAACCCCATTTGGTCATTCCCCTTTAACTCCGCTTCTACCCCACACCACAGGATAGTCCTCCCAGCTTCAATCCTTGCATAGCTTCCCATAGCTTATAAATAAACCGATTAGCCCCGTGTCAGCTCCTACCAGCCTCCTTTGCTCACTGAGGTTTCTTTAAAGCATTGCGTTTGTTCCTAGGCATGAGCCTTTGCTCAGTGTATCCAGAAAGCTCTTTGAATGCTTCTAAGGTTGTTCTGTCATCATGCTGAAGAACCAACCTGCCTCCATTTTAGGTTTAAAAGCCATTTTATAGTAAAGGAAAACTATGTTCATTCCTGTTTATCATTAAATCTGTTTCTCAAGGACTGGGCTATGCCCCACCTGTAACCTAACTATGAATGGCTCTGTACTGCCTTTTCCAAGAATAATAACCATACCTTTGCTTCAAAAAGTTGTTTATAACCATCTTGCTAACATGTCTTTGCTTACATTATTTGTCCACCTATGACTATCTTGCTATGACTACCTGTTATCATGACAACCTTGCTATACTCACCTTGCAGCCACGTCTTTGTCTTTGTTTCAGGAGATCATTATGACTCACTTGCCATGCTTATGTTCTGCTCCTGTAACCCCTCCTATTTTGCCGGCCAATCCACCCATTTGGAAACCTGATGTGGGAGTCCCCTCTGTGTGCTGTGATTGCCATTAATGAATAAAGAAACCGCCTTGGCCTGTTGATAGGGCAGAACTCAGGTAGGTGGGGAGGACTGAACTCAAGGCTGGGAGAAAGAGGGGTGGAGTCAGGGACACCATGGATCCACTGCCAGAGATAGACATGCTGAAACTTTGCTGGTAGGCCACGATCTTGTGGTGATATGCAGATTAATAGAAATGGGTTAAATTAAGATGTAAGAGTTACCCAATAAGAAGCTAGAGCTAATAGGCCAAGTGATTTAATTAATTCAGTTTCTGTGTGATTATTTTGGAGCTAAGCGGCTGGGACAAACAAGCAGCCTTCCTTCAACAGAAACCCCTATCCCTGAGCTATAAAAACCTTGTCTTCCTCACATCCAATACTGACCTCTCCAACCCTGCTTTAGGGGGAGGCAGTCCTTGGACATGAATAATAAAAAGCTTCCTTTAGTTAATTGGCCATCATGGGTTATTGGTCTTTCTTTTTCCATCTTTGGGATTAATGTGTGCAAGTCTCAGCTCAAATGTTTCTTCTTCAGAAAGGCTATTTCGGACCCCCTCTCTAAAGCAGGACATTCCCGTAACACTTGCCAGTCTATTAAGTTCTTTTTATACAGTCTAACCGTGTGTGTGTGTGTGTGTGTGTGTGTGTGTGTGTGTGTGTGTGTGAGAGAGAGAGAGAGAGAGAGAGAGAGAGAGAGAGAGAGAGAGAGAGAGATTAGGCACATACACCGAAATCAGAGAACAAATTAGTTCTCTCTTTTCATTGTGTGGGTCCCAGGGATTGAACTTTGGTCATCAGGCGGCATGGCAGCAAATATCTTTAATCTGTAAGCCATCTTGATGACTGACTTTTCCTGATTTACAAGTAAAAGCCATACAACCCAGGAAGCCCCTCAGTCTAGAGTGGCAGTTCTCAACCTGTGGGTCATCATCCCTTTGGGGGGGACATCAAACAGCTTTTCACAAGGGTCACCTAAGAACATCAGAAAACACAGATATTTACATTACGATTCATAACAGTAGCAAAATTATGGTTATGAAGTAGCAACAAAAATAATTGTATGGTTGAGGGTCGCCACAGCATGAGGAACTGTATTAAAGAGTTATAACATTAGGAAGGTTGAGAACCACTGGTCGGGAGCAAGTCATATGATTAGTCCTCCTGTTTCCCAGTGACCCAGTGGGGAGGAACTCAGCAATAATGAAGGGAAAGAAAAGCTAGCTGTCCATACAGAATTATTCCATCCTGGCTCTAGGGGGCAACCTTCCCCAGCCTTGAACCTTCGTCTTCAGCTATGCAGGTCCACTAAAACCTGTAGACCTAAATTTAGCTTGTAAGTTTCTTTAGATTCTTCTGCCCAGATCTTACCTCATCACCCTGTCCTCTCCTTCCCCAAGGAGTTCAAAACTGACACCCTTGGTAATGGCAGCCCAAGGCTGTGTCTGACACAGGAGAGAGGACCTAAATTTCTCTCTCTACTTCTGTTTTTGTTTGTTTCTTTGTTTGAGACAGGGTTTCTCTGTGTAGCACCGGCTGTTGTTTGAGACAGTGTTTCTCTGTGTAGCCCCAGCTGTTGTTTGAGACAGTGTTTCTCTGTGTAGCCCTGGCTGTCCTGGATCTCCCTCTGTAGACCAGGCTGGCCTTAAACTCACAGAGATCTGCCTGTCTCTGCTTCCCAAATTCTGGGATTAAAGGTGTGGGACACCACTGCCCAGCTATCTCTCTCTACTTCTGCATCCCCATTTTTATCCTGAGGTCAGGTCTGTGGACTAGAAAACTTCAGAAAGAACTGATCTAGAAGGCTGGCTGCAAGTAGGGCCCCAATCACTGAGGTTTTGAGGCTCCAAATTCAAGGTGTTGAAGGAGACTGCTCCTTCATTTCCCAGCCGCCCAGACCCAAATAATCACACAGAAACTGTACTAATTACATCACTGTTTGACCTATTAGCTCAGGCTTCTTATTTAACTAACTCTTACATCTTAAGTTAACCCATTTCTATTAAGCTGTGTATCGTCACGAGGCTGTAGCTTACAGGGTGCTTCTATTCTGGCGTCTTTCCCCTTCAGCAGCTACATGGCGTCTCTCTCTGACTCTACCTACTCTCTCTCTATATCTTTTCCAGTCTGGCTAAATTCTGCCCTGCCATAGGCCGAAGCAGCTTCTTTATTAACCAATGGTAATAAAACATATTCATAGCATACAGAGGGAAATTCCACATCACAGGGAGTATCTTGGTCCTAGAAATCTGCTCCCAGGTCTGGGGGGACCTTCTGCCCCTAGAACAGGGTCTTAGGACTGGAATAGAATTACTTGAAGTCTCCCTTCACAGTTAGCCCCCACTTCTCTGCCTACCTGAGAGCCTAGAGCAGTGGTTCTCAACCTTCCTAATGTTACAACCTCATGTTGTGGTGACCCCACCATAAAATTATTTTTATTGTTTCTTCAAAACTACAATTTTGCTACTGTTATGAATCCTAATGTAAATATCAGTTTTCTGATGCTCTTTAGGTGACCCCTATGAAACGGTCATTTGACCCCCCCAAAAGGGTCACAACCCACAGGTTGAGAACCACTGGCCTAGAGGTTCTTTCAGAGGCCAGGATGATGAGTGAGAAGATGTCAGACAGAAGCCACAGCTATTTTGACAAAAGCTAAAAGGGTATTAGAAGGAAGGGAATGATGTTACCACTGTAAGAGCCCAGGAAGAGCAGGGTGAGGTGCTAGGCCCACCTACATCAGTGAGGCCCCAGTTATAGGACACATTTGAATCTCTCCTTCCCCTCTCCTCGGGAGTGGGGAGTGTTGGTATATGGGAAACAGAGGGCAGGTGAATCCTGTGTTTACCTCAGCAGGACTGCAGCCTCAGGCCTATGGCGCTGATTCACTTGGGTGAGTTGCTCGCTGAAGCGGGTGGAGGAAGAGTCAGGCTGCGTCAGGCTGCAACTATGAGGTGGAAGGGCAGCCACTAAAGCCTGGCACAAGGAATGATGAAGACTCACGCTGAGACTGGAATTTGGGATGGGTTCTTTACGTGAGGAACTCCCCCGGAGGCTTCCTCCAAAAGCAGGCAGATCTCTGGTCATGAGGGCAGTGGTGAGTAAAGCCTAAATACTGGTTGATCTCTGGTTTCTTCCAGTGTAGGGACCCAAGCGTGGCACCCGAGGGAGGTCAAGTGGCCATGCTTGATGACCACTTCTGGAGGAGGAAGGGTTGCATCAGCGATGGGGGAGGCAGTAGAAGCGCAGCTAAGCCATGAGCAGGGTGGAAAGTCACCAAGATAGATCTCTGCGGGAGCCAAAGGGAGGGGGAAAAGGACCAGTGGAAGGCCAGGGGAACCTCACTGACCCCTCTCACCTCAGGGCATGACCCCCCCCCCACAGGCTGCCCTGAGTATGGGAGGCACACAACCTGATTGAAGCACAGCCAGTGTAGTGGGTGAGAGGTTTACAGGGATTCCAAAACCATTTCCTGCTCAGTGGCCATGGATTTCTCCCACAGAGGACTCTTGGAATAGTGAGCACAGTGACTGTCAGGAATGGGGCAGGGAATACCGAACTCCAAGGGAAGTCTGGCTTAATTATGATTTCTATTGCCGTGACGAAACACCATGGCCGAAAAGCAAGTTGGGGGAGGAAAGGGTTTATTCAGCTTACACTTCTAAATTGCTGTTCATCACTGAAGGAAGTCAGGACAGGAACTCAAACAGGGCAGGAATCTGGAGGGAAGGAGCTAATGCAGAGGCCATGGAGGGATGCTACTTACTGGCTTGCTCCCCATGGCTTCCTAAACCTTCATGCTTATGGAACCCGGAACCACTAGCCCAGGGATGGCACCACTCACATGGGCTGGGCCCTCTCCCATTGATCACTAGTTGAGAAAATGCTTTATGGCTGGATCTCAAGGAGGCCTTTCCTCAGCTGAGGCTCCCTCCTCTCTGATGACTCCAGCTTGTGTCAAGCTGACACAGGAAAACCAGTTAGTGCCAACGCCGATGCAGGTAGGACACCTGCAGGGGAAGCACCTGGGCAGTGGCTGCGGTTTGTAATGACTCCCAGGCCCATTTGGGAGTGCACTTCCATGGAGGCTTGAAGTGTCTGTGTAGTCAAGGGATCAGGCCAGAATTCTGGCCACTCCTGCAATGTGTCTATGGGGAGCATCTGACTGGCCCACCCCTTCCCCTGAAGGTAACAAACCCCGAGGAAGAGAAGGAGGAAGAGGGAGGGGCTGGGGAGCAGGAGGCAGTCCTTGTTGTCCTAACGTGAAGTCTGAATAACTGAGGCCGCTCTCCCTCCCAGGCAAAGTCGTCTGTGGCGGTCTCTCGGTTGGATTTGTGGACATCCCTTTGGTTCTCTGCTTCCTTCTCTGGTTTCCATCCTTGCACCTCCCCTGGTCTCTGATCAGGGCCTCTCTGAAGGGAGGAAATGGGCAGTGGATCTGGTGCCAGGAAGTCTTGGCCTGTGCAGCTTCCTCTCTGGCCCCAGCATTTCCTGAGCAGGATTTGGGGGCAGGACTGGGGCAGGTCTGATGCTGGAAAGAGATTCTATTCCTGGCCTAAATGTAAAGCTGTGCTCCTTCCCCTATTCCTCCCTCCTCCACCCTAGACAATACTCAGGACAGCTGGGGCAAGCCAGCAGTCAGGCCTGGGACACAGGAGGCCGACCCAACAGGACTTCTCTCCTGGGCTCCTGCAGCCACCACTTTGCCAGTATCCAAAAGCAGGTATCAGGGAGGGCTGGACAGAGTCCAAAGGCTCAGCATAGGTGAGGATGGGAACAGGTTAATAAAGTCTGGGAACTCTGGAAAAGGGCCCCTGGGAGGAGTGGTGATCTGCAGATGGCCAGGCGGTCTTCTGTGGGGAGATGTTAGCTGAGGAAGGCATAAGGTACTGGAAGGAGGGGAAAGTGAGTCCCTACTGGAATAGCCATTTCTGAGTACTGACCATTCAAGGTCAAATGGGATGTCTCCAGGACATTTGACACTCTCTCGCGCTCATGTGCGTGTGTACATGTGTATCCGTCCCTTTGCCTGTCTCCCCTCCTCCCAGAGAAGCAGAGCCCAGGCTATCTGATGTGTTTTGGTGTAGCACACATTTTCTGAGCAACTGGCCTGCTCTCCACCGCAGGCCCCTCTAGACTTAGCCTTATGCCTTCTGTGAGCCTGTCTTCTCCCACCAGCTCTCCACACTTTGGTCATCACCTCAGGTCTTTTCAGCGAGTGTTTCCTTGCCCCTCTGCCACCCACCGGCATCTTGAGCACCAGCAGGAAGCGTGTCCCTGTTCGTGTTCCAGCAAGCTCGCTGCTAGTCCTCAGACCTGCCTGTAGACCCGGCTTGCTCATTTCCCCAACTTAGGGAAGGCAGGGACCAGCCTTCTGCTCACATCCCTGTCCAAAGTGGCTCATGAGTGACCGGTTCTGACCTGTTAGTCCTAGGAAGGTTTGGCTTCGTGCCCATCAACATTCCAGCTCCCTGCCTCTGCCCCCACCCCAGGAATGGGCAGGAGAGGAGAGGAGTAACTGAACTGGAACCACTACTTGGAGAAGCAGCCTAGGAAAAGATTCAGAGAACTTTCCGGAGTCCAGAGGCAGAGTCCAGACAAGGGAGGGGGCGGGCTGGGTGCTTGTCTTAATCTTTCCCCATGACTGCTTAGTTCTAGCCAAGGTAGAAGCCCAGGGACCCTGGGAGAGGGCTGGCATCGGACCTGAACTCCTCTGCTGCTTATTTAGGGTCACTCTCCAAGCTACCTCTTTTCTGCAGTTCCACTGAAGGCCACGCGTTAACAGCTTCTTCCACCTCCACCGCTGTGACGAAGGCTTGTGAAGGAGTAAGGAACGCGGAGGAAGGCAACACCTTGAAAATAAACCGACAGGATCAACGCTTCTCACCGACCCACATCTGCACAGCGCAGGTCCGTGGCAGGCGGCATCTGATTTCCAGAGTTCCCCTTGACTTCATCTCCTTCCAGAATCACGACGCAAGCAACTATTTATGCCACATACTGTGCTGGTGAGGGAGACAGAAAGATAACCCCACTGGATGTTATGTTCCGAAAGTCTTAGTTGGTTGGGTTTTATCTGACTCTCTCTCTGTTTTCCCCACCCTCTCTCTGGCAGTCTCTTGTAGTCCAGGTTGACCTTGAACTTGCTCTATAGCTGATGACAACTTTGGCCCCCTTATTCTATTGCCCCACGTCTCCAGTGCTGGGATTACAGGCATGTACCACCACCATTTATTTGCTGCTGGCGATGGTTTCTGGAGCTTTGCGCATGCCAGACCAGCACTCTATCAGCTGGGCGACCCCACCAGCCTGTGCCCAGAGTTTGGGGGTGGCATCAGCTACCCGGTTTTACAGCACAGTTCCTGACAACTCCAGCAAATGTCAAACGAATTCAAGATTGTTAGTAATGATGCTAAGGCACCACACTGAGAGGATGATGGGAGGTGAGGCAGAGGCAACAATCAGGGATGGGAGAGGTGGTTGATAGTAGATGGGAACATGGGCTGTCATTACGTGCCCAAGTATGGCTCTACAGTTTGCTGTCAGTGTGACCTTGGGCAGATTACTTCACCTTTCTATGTTCCAGTTCCCTCAGCAGAGTGGTTTTCCTGAGAGAGCGAATGCTAAGATAAGTGGGCTGCCACTCACGGTGGTAGCAGCAGGAGTGGGGAAAGGAGAGGCGTGCTATTGGCTGAACCAACCGCCTAGGTGCCTGATTGGCTGTAGGAGAAGGGTACTACCTTACAGCGTTCTTGCTTAGCGGCTGGCAGGACTCCCGGAGCCAAGAGGCAAAGCTAGCTGGAGGAGGAGCTCCCTGGGGCAGGAAGAGAGTGTTGGGCATGTTTAAGGTTCCAGCAGAAATCCAGGAAGCTGAGGGCTCAGTGTGTGCAAAGTCAACCAAGAGGCCTAACTGGAAGAGACACAGTCCGGAGTCAAAGCCTGGTTCTCAGCCACTCCCCGCCCACCCCAGATTTCCTACTTCCACACCTAGTCACCAGGAGAACCACCATATACCCAAGAGACAGCGGGTCCTAGGGGACTTGTATTCCAGCAGAAGCTCACTTTAAGGGACAGCCTATATCAAGTGGATTTGATGTGCCTCTCACATCCCTTGTCTGGTCCTCTCTGACCACCAGAGCCAGAATGGCAGTGTTGGGAGCATGGCTCCAGATGTGGGCTTTTGTCTTTGTAGGAGCTTTCCTAATGTTTCTAGAGTAGGACTACACAGATTCAATGGCCCTTTGGGTAGAATCCCTCAGGGCTCCAGCACTTTCGAGATGGAAGGTCTTGAGCACATTATGTAACATCTTGGAGAGCGTCAGCTTCCTCATCTGAGAAATGGGATAATGGTAATGTCATTTCACAGGGTTGTTGTGACAATTAAAAGAATATAAATGAAGTATATTAAAAACAGGACCTAGTGCCTGTTAAGTATAATTATTATTTCTCTGTCTAAGACACCTACCAGGCATGTAATGGCAGTTGGGGAGGGTGGATACTGCAACAGGACCTGGCATGCTCACCTCCAAGATGGCCCATCTGCCTGGATGTCTTCTTCAGACATCCTTCCCTGTCCCGTGGCCCTCAGCCTCAGTGAAACATCTAACAAGCAGTAATTGCACTGGCTAGGTCCCGTCTATCAATCCCGGGAAGACCCACTGCATGGGCAGGTGGTAGAAGACCTGACTCCTGCCAAGAAGGGCTATCTAATTCTTTTGGTGGCTCAGGTCGCTGGTGACGAGGTAAGCACAAAATCCAGCATTGTGGCTTCCTAGGACAGAGGGAATGAGAGCAAGATGGGGCCAGTGAGTTTGGGGCAGTCGCTGCTGACGTTTGAATGACTTTCTCAGGTGCTTCCTGTGTATTAACTAACAAAAGCAGTGTAGGAAAGGGTTGGAGCCCCAGTTTGAAGGTCCAGGCCATCAAGGAGAAGGTGTGGCGACAGGGGCATTAGCCGTCACATTGCATGTCAGTCAGGAAGGGTGAATGTGACACTCAGGTCACTTAGACTTTTCATCCACCGAGGGACGGTGGTCTGTGGGGATCATGCTGTCCTCATTCAAGGTGCATCTTGTCTCTAAAATACCTCCAAAGGCACCCAGAGCTTTTCCCCTTAGGTAAAGCAGAGCCAGACAGCCTGGACAGGAGCGTCACTAGACAGGAAGCAGGGGCAGGCACATGGTTAGATCAACAGATAAGCAGGTGTCCTCCTGCCTCATCCCTCAGCATCGCTCCCTCCTGCCCTAAGAGGGGACAACGGGAGTAGGAAACAGGGACTTTCCCACTCCACAGCCAGTTCCAGGGAACTCTTCTGCAAGACCTTCTAAGCCAGATCTGGTATCCTGAGTGCCACCTCGGCACCCCCAACCACAATTCCTGTCCCCACAACATTCCTGAGACTATTTCTTATCCTTCTAGGCCAAGTTTCCAAGTCATTGTTCCAAGTTCTAAGAACGTGAGTGGTGGGCAGGACTCCTTCCCAGGTTCCCTTCTTTCCTCAGGGGGGCAGTGAAAGCTTCACTAGCGTGTCTCAAAGAGTGGGAGCCACAGATGACCTGGAGTGCTTATTCAAAGTTCGGATTTTCCGTGTCATGCCAGTAAGATGGTATCAGAATTGGAGTAGTTAAAACGTTCATGCTGAAACGGCCCTGGGAGAGAAAAGCCGTTGAGACACACACGCAGTGAAATTCGGGTTTTTTAATGATGATTAAAATTCTCGCATCAAGAAATCAGTTCTGGGTGGAAATGGACTTAGTTGTGCTGGATTTAGCACCCCCCCCCCCCAATCTCCCAAGCAGTGGGAAAGGAGAAGAGAATGGGCTAAGTAAGGGAAGAGTCCTTGAACGCTGGGGGCGGGGCCTGTGCCTTCTAAACCCTCATTAATGTCTTGAGCAATTATCGGGCGCCACTGAAATCGCCGTCCCAGGTCACAGTCTCTGTCCACTCGGAAGCAGGCATGAGTGAGACGAAGTGCTCGCCATCTGTGTGGCACTGGAAATGAGGCCCAGGGAGGTGTGGGCCCTCGGCTGTTACCTAGCCCGGAACAGGGGAGCCCGGGGGCGGGGTAGGGAGTGAGAGGCGTGACCCTCTAAAGTCCAGCCTGTCTTTGAAACTTTACTATAAATCTAAACCCTGGCCCAATCTATGTATCTGCTCGTCCCTCTCTCCATCTAGAATATGGTCCTTCCCCTCCAGCCTCAACTTCTCAACCCGCGGGATTGGGAGGGCAAAGGTGGGAAGCCAGACAGCGGGATTCCCCACAAGAAGATTGCTAGAGACCCTGAACCCAAACGGGAGGCCGGATGCCCCTGGTCAGGAAGCAGCCCCAGCCCGGATTTCCCTCTCGGGTGGGGCGGCCATGACTCACTCTCTCCCCCTTCCCTAGTTTCCTTGTTTGCATTTCTCCTCCTGGCCACGTGGCGGCGGGTGCAGCCTTTACTGCCCCTGACCCGGCGCCCGGGCTGAGACTGGGGCATTCACCCTATGGCACTTCCTACCCGCTGGGGCTTCGGGTTCGGAACCTGAACCCACTGACTGAACCCGGGTAGGGACTCCATCAACTGTGGGTCCGACCCCTTCCCCTATGAGCACCCCTACCGTAAAGCCTGTGCCTCTTCCCCGCCCCCTCGGCCTGTCCAGGGGAGGGGAAGGGGCGGGCAGCGCAGGGGGTGTGACAGCTCCCGCCCGGATCAGTGCCAGCTGCAGCTTCGCTTGAGCGCCCTGTGCCAGCTGGCGCTTACATCTGGAACCGAGGCAAAGGCTCAGAGTTCTTAGTCTTTGGGGAGGGGTGGGGGTTCCCCACTCCCCTCAGACTTCTACTCACCCAGGTCGAGCCCCTTTGCCTAGCCCTGCATCTTGCTCCTCCAGACATCCTGTCCTGCTGGGAACTGGCTCTTCGCTGCCGCCCGGGTGTCGCTCACACCCACACCCCTCCAGGATTCCAGGTTGGAGCTGCCCTGGAGCGCGCCAGGGATCCTCCAGCCTCTTGCTAGAGCGTGCCCCGCTGTGTGAGCAGGAGAAGAAACATGAAGGTGGGTAAGGTGGGGCCCGGGTCAGGGCCAAGGAAAGCTGCTGGAAAGGGCGGGAGAGGAAGCCGACACGTGGGGAGTTTGGGTGGGAGAAGGTGGCGGGGAGGAGAGTTTGAGGCTAAGCTGCTTCTGGGGATCTAGTGTGTGTACAGCCTCAAGCCGGGAGAGGTGGACAAGGCTGCAGGACACGGGCAGTGAGGCGAGGACTGAGAAGGGCCCCATCTTTGTGAGCCAGCTGGAGACCCCTAGGTGCGCCAAGCCAGCAGGACCCGGGGCAGGTCTTCCTGTCCCTCCCCCGGCTCCTGGCAGACGTGCTGCACCTCCGCCTGACCAGTCCAAGTGCAGAGCACGCTAAACGTGGTGTAGTGTGGAGATCCAGCTCCTCCAGCCGATGGCTGTCCACTTTTTTCCTCACATCACAGGTCAGCTGGCCAGGTGAGAACCACTGGCAGGTGGGTCCAGCTGTGGTGGAGAGTCCAGCTGTGGGGGCACCGCAGGTGGGAAGTCTCCCTGACGTGGTTCCAGAGGGCACGCTGCTCAATATGGTACTGAAAAGAATGCACCGTCCCCGGTGCTGCTCTTACCAGCTGGTGTTCGAGCACAGGCGGCCCAGCTGCATCCAGGGACTTCGCTGGGTGAGTACCCTCCATCAACCAGTCTAGACCAGGACTGGAAGAGTCCGGAATGCAGTGCTGGTGGGCCAGGCAGCTTGCTCTAGGGGTGCGGAGTAAAACATTTGGGTAGAGAGAAGGCAGGGCAGCTTGGAGTTGGTATGTGTGGCAGACCACATAATCAGAGCCTGTGTGTGTGGTGTGCTGTGCTGATCTGCCCCCCCCCCCCCAATTAGGGCTTTATTCTTTATCCATCACCTCCTTGTTCAGGCATGGACTTATGTGTTGTGATTTCTTTCTGTGTGGCAGTGGGAGATGTGGGGCCAGGTCAAGTGGGGGTGAAATTAGCTTGGTTACTGTTCTTGACACATCACTGTGGCAACGGTCTCCTCTGGTGAACAATTGAACCGGGCTGATTCTGCTTTTTGCTCCTAGGGTGAGGTATTTGTGTAGCTAAAGCTTGGCACCTGGCCATAGGGGACTGAAGAGGCTTCAGAGTGGAGAATGTCTGCTGAAGGAAGGGAGTGGGGAGGATGGGGGCTGGAGGGGGTGCATGGTAGAGAAGCCAGTCCCCAGGATACTCTTCTGTCTTCCCAACCACCAGGCTTGATAGTCCTGTCTGTAAGCTGTGTATACCTGTGTGTGTGCGGGGGTGGTGGTAGGTAGGAGCAGAGGGTACTGAGTGGAGGGTGGTGTGTGCGTGTGTGTGTGTGTGCGTAGGGGTAGAGGGTACTGGGTGGAGGTTGTACATGTGTGTGTGTGTGTGTGTGTGTGTGTGTATGTGCGTAGGGGTAGAGGGTACTGGGTGGAGTGTGGTGTGTGTGTGTGTGTGTAGGGGCAGAGGATACTGAGTGGAGGGTGGTGTGTGCGTGCGTGTGTGTGTGTGTGTGTGTGTGTGTGTTGGGGCAAGGGGTACAGAGGGGAGGGTAGAGAGAAAGCAGGAGTGGGTGACAAACTTGGAAAGATCATTTCTTACCAACAAGTCCCTTTGAGTAAAAAACCACTGCCTCCTTTCTCTACCTTGTCCAAACACTACTGTCATTTCTAATAAAGGGGGCCGGGTTGAGAAAGCCACAGGTGTGTCTAGAGGAGAAGACCCCTGCACTGAAGCCCTGTCCCTACTTGTATCTCTCCCTGGATTTTTCTAATAGGGTGGGAGGGGCACTGGTTCTACCCCACGTCCCAGCTCAGGCTCTGGGTCACTGCAGGGCGGGAGTTCCTGCTGGAATCTAGCCTCTGGAACCTCCCTCCGGCCTTCCCCTTCAGGCTATAATTACTTGTGCATTTCCTGTCCCCTTCCCAGCTTGGAGAAGCTAGGTAGGAGGTAGGAAAAGGTCAGTTACCAGGACAATGAGGTCACTGCGGACTCTCTTGGGATCCAAAGTCAGGGAGAGGGTGGAGGAAGACGCCGGTCAGTCTCCTAGCTCCCCTAAGACCTCAGAAAGAAAGGACCAGCTTGCACTGGAGGCTGGAAACATAAAAATAAGGGTTGCTGGACTGTAAACAGTGTCAGAGGTTCAGAAGCAGGCCCACCTCTGCCATTCACGGCAGAAGTGCGGGAGGGCTGTTGACTAAAGTGTTTAGGACTAGAGACCGCTGTCCCCCAGCTCCCTACCGTGCTCGCCCTTGAGGGGTGGAGTGAGGTAGGTCCAGTCTACCGCGTGTGTTCAGGAGCTCCTGGCTGTCTTCGCGGCTGCACCTCTTGACGCTTTTAAGGCCCCTTTGACTCATGAAGTGTTCCTCTGAGGGAACAAGTCCCAGCAGGGTGTGTGCGTGTCCGGGGTGAAGAAGGTGAGCCCAGAGCCCAAGAAGACAGGGCTGGGTTGTTCAGGCTACACCCACCTCTTCAAAAAGCCCAGGGGAAAGAGGGTTAGCCTGAAGAAGAGTTCATCAGAGACCAGACCACGGTTAAGGCAGAAAGGATTTAACAACTATGGCTAAGTCAGTACAGCCAGGGGGTAAAGAGCACTTTTGAAAAATATGAGGGCGAGATGAGGTCTTATACTGGATGTGGGAATAGGAGAAAGATCAGGGTGACCTTGGGTGTGCCCCACAGACTCAAGCAAGCCTGGAATGTTTCTTCCATTCGTATGACAGTTTGGGGGTAAGTGGCTCTATTCTCAAGACAAATCCATCCAAATATAGTGTAAGATCACAGTACTTTAACAGCTCATCTTTGTTGCATTCAATATGCTCACAACAGCCTGGTGGGGTCAATGCTAATGGTTTCATCTTACAGATGTGAAAAGGGAGGCACAGAGAGGTCAAGCAGCAGGAGAAGGGCTGCACAGCTGCTGAGTGGCTGAACTGGGCTTTGTACCCAAGAGACACCTACAGAATAGCTCTGACCCGCTCTCGGTCCCTGCCCCATGCACACCTGGCCTAGGACTTTAGACATGTCCAAAGGAACTGGTCTGGTGGATTTCCATGCTGTCTGGTTCCCTGACTATCCTTCCAGTTAAGTTCTGAATCTTAGTGACAGAGATGGAGGGTAAGGCCGGCCATCAGACTAATGCTAGCACCCCTCTGCCATCTCAAATCCTTCCTGCTCTCAGCTGGGAAGCGTTAATAGGCAAGGGCCGAGGGTCATCACTTGACCCACGCCAGTCATTACTTTCCAACTGAGAACCTTAAAATGATACTCAAGGGTCATAAGATCAAGACCAGAGCCAGCCATAGCCCATATGTCAAGGCAGTAGGATGTTGTCAGAGGCTGCTTGTTTGTTTCCCGGTCACCCAGACCCGAAATAATTATGCAGAAACTATATTAATTACAACACTGCTTGGCCAATAGCTAATGCATACTTCTAGCTAACTCTTACATCTTAAATTAAGCCATTTCTATTACTTTGTGTATCGCCACAAGGTTGTGGCTTACCAGGTAAAGTTCTGTCTGGCATCTGTCTCCTTCAGCGGCTACATGATATCTCTCTGACTCTGCCTTCTTTCTCTCAGTATTCAGTTTAGTTTTACTGCCTAGCTCTAGTCTACCCTGCCACAGGCCCAAAGCAGCTTCTTTATTAACCAATGATAATAAAACATATTCACAGCATACAGAGGGGAATCCCACGTTAGTCGGAAGGTATACAGAAGAAGTAGAATGCTGGATTACTGCATTAACTTTTGCTAAGCAGTGGCTGCAAGGCAGGCACCATCCCATGGCCTTGAGATTATTAGCCTATTTCAATAATTCAATAATAACTCTCTGGGATAAGTTTCTCCTTCATGGACAAGAAGTTGGTCCACAGAGAACTTAAGTCAGCATAAGGTCACATGCACCCTGGCTGCCATTCAGAAAGCAGCGTTTGAACCCAGCCATCTGGCTCCAATGGCCACACAGGTGCCCACAACTGCTCATTAACAGTCCTCTCCCAAGTTCCCAAGGTCTCCATTCACAAGAACATTGAAGGGGCACAGAAGAACTATGTTAACAAGAGTGTCCCTTGCTCCTGAAGGCAGAATGCCTCTGCAGTTTCTTTCTGTGGCTGAGGAAGTCCAGGGGTTGAGCTCACGAGAGATTACGGTAGAGCTATGCAGGGGGGCGGGGGGGGGCTGTGGACTCAGACAGGCTCTGGTGTGAATGCTGTTTGCCACCTGTTAGCGTGGGTTATGCAACCTTTTTCTGGCTGTGAAATAGAATGCAAACACCTGCTTCACATGGAGACGACACCTGAATCACCGCTTTCTGAGCAACTGTGTGACCCTAGGCAGTGACTTTGGCTCTGAGGGCTTCAGCTTTTTAAAGTAAGATAGCATGCCTTATTTATGGTTGCACTCTCAGGCTACTGCCCTCAGACTCCCATGCCCATCCCTTGGGGTAGGGCAGGAAGTGACCAGCTTGGTCATGTGGCCTCCTAGGTCAGGATAATTCCAGGAAGGGTTGGCTAAGGGATGGAGTTTAGTGGGTAGAGTGCGAGCTTCGCATGCCGGGAGCCTGTATAGGGGCAATTCTTGATATCCTAGCACTGAGGAAGTGAGGCGAGGCAATCAGAAGTTCAAGGTTATCCACAGAGACTTAGTGACTTCAGCCTGGGCTGCAAGCGACCTTGCCTCAAAACAACAACAAGAGACTGAAGAGATACAACAACAACAACAACCACCAGAGACTGAAGAGATACAACAACAACCACCGGAGACTGAAGAGATACAACAACAACAACAACCAGAGACTGAAGAGATACAACAATAACCACCGGAGACTGAAGAGATGGCTCTGTGAATGAGAGCATCATCATGCTGAAGTCCTGAGTTTGATCCCCAGTAACCATGTCAGGCATCTCATAATTACTGTAACTCCAGTTAGTTCCAGGGACTCGAATATCCTCTTCTACCTTCTATGGGCACATGCGTACACATACACAACACATACACTCACGCACACACACAAATAAATCTAACAACAGTAACGGAGCTCACGCTAGAGCCTGGACTGTAGGCACCAAAGGGAGCTGGGGCAGGAACTAGGGTGACTTGGGCATTTTGAGATGAATAACAAGAAGTCATTAGCACTCGGGCACTGTTTGTTCCAACACAGGGCCTGGCTGGATAGCATTCCTGCCCTTCCTCCCTTCCTGGCTCCTCCTCCTCATTTCCTGTCCTTAAGTCTCTAGGGCTGTGTGTCTGGCACTGGCCTGGGCCCCATGACCCGGGCAGGGCTACCCTTGGGACACCTAGTGACTTCCGCTCCATGCTGGGCTAGGCGCCCATGCCAGACCTCCAGGTCTTTGCCTGGGTCTAGTGACAAAATGCCTATGCCCAAGACCTGCCAGTCTCGAGGAGAGGACTTGGATTCCAGCTCCCTAGCCAGTGCTTTTCCAGGTCCTTGGCTGGCAGGTAAGGTGGCTAGAGTGGGACTGGTAAGGAAACCATTTGGGTGGGAGCTCCAGCCTACCCGTGACTGGCTAGCAGTCCTGTGAGTGCATGGCTGCCTTATGTGGGGTACTCGAATTCACCTCAAGACTTGTTTACCCATAATTCACAGGGAGCAGACAATCCTACTCTGCCTACCACGCCTAGGATGCAGTGCTATCAGGGAGGTAGATGTGCTCTGTGAGCTGTAAATGGTGCCTTTGGAGGGCTCATAGAGAGCGGGGCAGCCTGCACAGAGCTGTTCATAAACTCTCCATTTTCAGATGGTTGGAAAAGAGGGTTGTGAGGGGTCTTTGTGGCGATATGCCAGGGCACAGGTGCCCTGGAGTCCCTGGTGGCAACATTGCTACCAAGACCCTTGTTAACCTATGTTTCCATGGTAAAGCAGTCTTATGAGCTGCCAAGGCTTTCCCCACCCTTAGAGAGCTGTGGCTTGCAGTATCTCCTAGAAAGAAACAAGCCTTCCAGCCACAGCCCCACCTGCGCCTCACTGAATAATGGAAGCTACCATACACACAGCCGTAGGCATAGCAATGGTTAAACAAGCAGTCTGTGACGACTGACGGGGCCTGCCGAAAGCTCGTGGGTTTCTGTGACTTGCTCTTTAGAGATTTCGTACATAGAGCTGTTGTTCAGGACTGTACCATCAGTGCAGAGTCTGGCTCCAGGGTTTATGTGTTCATTAAGTGAGCCACAGCCCTCCAGAGTGCCCTGTGTTTGGGCACAGAGCTGATCTTGGGGTCAAGCCTACAGTCCCAGCTGGAAGCTGATGTTCCCAGGCCTCCCAAGATGTTCGTGCCCTGGCCTCTCATGAATCTTGTATCATGTGTTCCAACTTCCTCCAGCGCCACTCCCACCAACCACACACAGGGCCTGTTTGCCTGGTAGCCTGAGCATGGGGGGACCCTGGGTGAGCAGCATAGGGGGTCTTGGGGGCTATCACCCGCAGCACACCAGTGTGGGATAAAACCGTCGTCTGAGAGGGGCAGCAGCATGGGGAACAGGCAGTGTCTTTCACACTGGGCAAGCAACACCTGTGTGTTTATGGTGTGAAGGCTCTTGGATGCATTGAGGCCGAGACTCAGGCAAGGGAAGAAGGGAGTAAGGCAGGGACGGGTCCCACTTCCCACTCCCTGATCTGCAAATTCTCCCTGCTGCCCTCAGACACCCCTCACCAACAGCGAGGAATCCCTGGACTTCAGTGTGAGCCTGGAGCAGGTACGAGCAGAGAAAAGCAGAACTGGGAGGGGGGCAACAGGCTGCGGGGTTCAGGCCTAAGTTTGCCACCACCACCACCCCCCCTTCATCCCAGGCCACGACAGAGCGCGTGCTCAAGGCAGGGAAGCTCCTCCACCGTCACCTCCTGGCCACCTACCCTAGCCTCATCCGAGACAGAAAATACCATCTCCGACTGTATCGGTGAGTGGCAAGTGTGGCTCCTGCCGCCCTTGATGGTTACCCTGGCAGCTTTCCGTCCCTGCTCTCCTCCACGCATTGGGGCCCAGCCCTGCTTTGTAGGGGAAGAACTGGGCTTGGGCCCGGACGGTGACTTTGGATAGGGATCCTGCTCACTCTCACTTTGATTTTCTGGCCTCCTTCCACTTTCCGCAGGCAGTGCTGCTCTGGCCGGGAGCTGGTGGATGCGATCTTGTCTCTGGGGCTTGGCATCCATTCACGGAGCCAAGCTGTGGGTGTCTGCCAGGTGTTGCTGGATGAGGGTGCCCTTTGCCATGGTGAGCTGAGCTCAGATTGGGCACTAGGACTGGGTGGGGGTAGGGAGGGTTGACCTGAGGACTGGACTCTGTTGGGAACTCTGAAGGGGCTTTAAGGCATGGTGAGGGTTTTAGTATGAAGTCCAATACCTGGCCTCATTTTCTCTTCTCTGCCTTGCCTGGGTCTCGGCTTCCCAGTGAAACATGACTGGACCTTCCAGGACCGAGATGCCCAATTCTATAGGTTCCCTGGACCAGAGTCAGAACCTGCGGGGACTCATGATGTGGAAGAGGAGCTTGTCGAGGCAATGGCTCTACTCTCGCAGCGAGGGCCTGATGCCTTACTCACCGTGGCCCTCCGGAAGCCGTGAGTGAAGAGCCCTGCCCTCTGTCCCCACTTTCATGTGGCCTTCAGTTATACCCCAAAGGCGCTCACTTTCATTTGGGGGAGAGAACCTGGGCAGGAGTAGAAGCCTGAGCTCAGCTCTCATTCTGTCTTGGACTTGCCATGTGACCTCAGCCCCCACATCCCAGGCTGTTTCTTCTTCTATTCCTGTGGGTGTTGGATCAGAGGGTCTAAAGACCCCCCTCCCCACTGACAGAGGGTGTGGATTTTTGACTGAGTCAGGGTTCAACTTCTAGCCCAACCAGCTTTTCACCGGGTGACCTTGGGCCTCTTCAGCCAGCTTCCTCTTCTGTCAAGTGAGGATAACAGTGCCCCCATCATAGTTTGAGCATGGAATGAAATAGTGCGTGAAAGGTGCTTAGCACAGTGCCCGGGATCTGGCCTCACCCACAAAGCCTGTTATTGATAACAGTGGATTGACTGATAGTTGCGGAGTTGCCATCTGGCTCCAGGTCCCCGGCCCCAGCAGGCAGGTGGGGTGGCTCCTCTCTGGTTCCGGCCCCAGTTCTCAGGACTTCCTCTGCTCCTTCAGCCCAGGTCAGCGGACAGATGAAGAGCTGGACCTCATCTTCGAAGAGCTACTGCACATCAAGGCAGTGGCCCACCTCTCCAACTCCGTCAGTACACACATGGGCTTGCCCTTTGCTAGACCTCTTCCTCTGGGAGCCCCCGGGCTCTTACCTCCTACTCCTACTGCTAGATGGTGTGTGTGTGTGTATGTGTGTGTGTGTATAAGAACAGTTCCCACCTTTTCAAGTCTGTGTCTTGAAGATTTCCAGCTAATTTCTCTCTCTCTCTCTCTCTCTCTCTCTCATTTTATTTATTTGGTTGGTTGGTTGGTTTTGATTTTTTTGAGACAGGGTTTCTCTGTAGCTTTGGAGACTGACCTGGAACTCGCTCTGTAGACCAGACTGGCCTCAAACTCACAGAGATCCGCCTGCCTCTGCCTCCTAAGTGCTGGGATTAAAGGTGTGCACCACCACCACCTGGCTTCTTTTTTTCTTTTTTTAAATTCCCCCCATTTTTTTTGTCAGAGTTTCTCTGTGTAACAGCTCTGGTTGTCCTGGAACTCGTTTTGTAGACCAGCCTGGCCTCCAACTCAGAGTGTTTGGATAACAGGCATGCGCCACACACCTTGGCTTCTTTTTCTTTCTTTCTTCTTTCTTTTTTTTTATTACAATTTTAAATTATTTTACTGTTTTATGTGTATGGATATTTTGCTCTCATGTATGTCTGTATAAACCTTGCATGCCTGGTGCCTATGGAGTCTAGAAAAGAGCATTGGATCCCCTGGAAATGACTGGTTACAGATGGTTGTGAGCTGCCATCTGGATGCTGGGACTTGAACACAGATCCTCTGGAAGAGCATCCAGTGCTCTTAACCATTGAGCCGTCCCTCCAGTTTCTCTACCTAATTTCTTACTGTTAGCCTTCAGTCTGAATCTTTTCCCACCTCCTTGGCCACTTTTTTTTTCTTGACGTTGTCTCTGGCACATCCCAGAGATAAGCAGCCTGGCCACACGCCATCCGTCAGTCCCTTGTCTTTGGACTTGCCCTCTCTTTCTCAGTCTGTCTCTCTTCTCCCCAGGTTGACACTATTGATCTTCCTTTTCCCACCCCTAGGTGAAGCGGGAATTAGCTGCCGTTCTGCTCTTTGAACCACACAGCAAGGCAGGGACTGTGTGTAAGTCAGGTTGGCCACAGGGTCAGGGCCCGGGGGGCAGGGGTGGGTGACAGAAGAGGACTGATGTGATCTGTGCTTCTGTCAGTGTTCAGCCAGGGGGACAAGGGCACCTCGTGGTACATTATCTGGAAGGGATCTGTCAATGTGGTGACCCACGGCAAGGTAAGTTCTCCCTCCCTCCCACCACAGTCCCCCGGAGTGTCAGTGCTCCTTGCTTCAGGTCCTCATGGACGCGCCTCTTGAGAGTCCCAGGGCTGCTGCTCCCACAGATTTGTCTGAGTCTGTCCCAGCAGGGGCTGGAGGGAGGGTGGGCTGTGACTGAGTGCTGGCTTTAGGGGCTGGTGACCACATTGCACGAGGGAGATGACTTTGGACAGCTGGCTCTGGTGAATGACGCACCTCGGGCAGCCACCATCATCCTCCGAGAAAATAACTGTCATTTTCTGCGTGTGGATAAGCAGGACTTCAACCGCATCATCAAGGTGCCATGGTGGGGGGCGGTGAGGACACGGTGTGGTGTGGCCCAGGGTCACTGATGTCTGCGCGAGAGCTTGTAAGCGGACTTAGGATCTGGCTGGGAGTGGACACCCTCAGTTTGGTGTGAAAGACCAGGGACTGGTGGGTTGCAGAGGCTGGGATTTGGGTCTGTGGAGGGGTTGAGGCTGGGAAGCCTGATGAAGGAGAGTCTTGAGAAGAGCTGAGGAGCCCCAGAAGCCTACAGGCTCGGGGTTCGGAAGGGAGGTGGTACAGGAGGTCGGAACAGGAGCCTAGGACATTGAACACCTGTGTGGCTCCTCCAGGATGTGGAAGCGAAAACCATGAGGCTGGAAGAGCATGGGAAAGTGGTGCTGGTTCTGGAGAGGAGCTCTCAGAGCACCGGCCCTTCCCGCCCCCCGACCCCAGGCAGAAATCGGTAACAAGCCCGCCGTATCTCCCCCTACACCTCTCCACTTACACACCTCCCCCACTTTCAGCCTTTGCTTCTTTCTCATGCTGTGTTCTGGGGGTAGGAGGCACTGAAGGACTGGGGGGGGGGTGTATCCATGCCCCCTCTCCAAGGTGGATTAGGGCTGGCCAATCGGGAGGCAGGATGGGATCAGTGATTGATGTCTATGCGGACAGGAGTGATGGCGGAAGGGCACGTGCCATAGTTGGACTAGTTTTCCTCTAGGTATACAGTAATGTCTGGCACCCCAGAGAAGATCCTAGAACTCCTGCTGGAAGCTATGCGGCCAGATTCCAGTGCTCATGACCCAACAGGTAGAGTCAGAAGACACTACCTTTCTCTGAGTCATCAGGAGGTCACTGTGGCCTGACCTCATCCGGGGCTGGATTGGTCCATGTAGGAAGTTGGCAGGAAGTGCTCTTGGTCGGGGTGGAGAACACATCAGGCTGGGCATTGATCCCCTTGCTTGTGCCATACTTGGGGGTGTGTGCTTCAACTGCTTGTATTGCTGTGCTATGACTTGGCTTCTGAAGTCCCTTCCCATCCCTAACCCTGCCCAACAGAGACATTCCTCAGTGACTTCCTGCTGACCCACAGTGTCTTCATGCCCAGCACCCAGCTCTTCACGGCTCTCTTGCATCAATATCCTTTCAGCCCCGGGGCGATGTGGGTAGCGGATGGGATGGTGTGTGGAGGAGGTGAGGGAAGGAATCCCCATCCAAGTGGCTGTTGTAACCCCTCCCCGACGCCCTGCACACACCTGGCCCAGTCTGTCCCTGACTCTGCTCTGCTCAGGGGTGGTGGGTGGCCTTAGTGGCATGGTGCGGTTCCCTTGACTGGTGCCCACCTTCCACGTGGAGCCAGCAGAGCCTGCTGGAGGTGGTGAACAGGAACGAAGCACCTACGTCTGCAACAAGAGGCAGCAGATTCTGCGGCTAGTCAGCCGGTGGGTGGCCCTGTACGGCCCCATGCTCCACTCAGACCCCGTGGCCACCAGCTTCCTCCAGGTACCTGGGAGTACAGATGGGCTGGCTGGGGTGCCCGTGAAGATACAGCAGCAGCCACCCCAGGGGCTAACGCTCAGCTTTTCACAGAGACTCTCAGACCTGGTGAGCAGGGATGCCCGACTTAGCAACTTGCTGAGGGAGCAGTGGCCAGAGAGGAGGCGGCATCACAGGTGACCCTCTGACTGAAGTTCATCTGTCCTCTTTGTGCAGCATGGGCTGAGCAGCTGGCACTGGTCCATCCGGGCCTTCAGTCTAGGCCACCTAGCTTACTCAGGTGTTCTTGTCAGCCCCATTCCATTCCCGCACATGCTACAGTCATTCATAGGCTCATCTATACGTTGAATGCACCCACATGTTCACGTCTTCCATTTGACCAGCTGGTATGGACTATGGCACCGATTTCCACCCACCCTGCCCATCGACTCCTTTGCATTTACCATGCCTCCCTGGACATCTATGGGGACAACTGGGGTTCAAGGGCAAGAGCTCATTCAGAATCCTGGAGCCTGTGTCTCCTCCTACCTCCCCCTCTCTCCTGGAAATCACAAAAGCCAGTCCAGGTCTTAAGTGCATCTTGCCCCCTGCCCTGTGTACCCTCCCCTCTGCATCCCTCTGAGCTTCTGGGGAGGGCGAGATGGGACCCAGACCACTGTGGCCACTGACCCTGAGAGGCGTCCTGCCTGAGGGGTTCTTAGGGGCCCTCTCACCTCCTCTCTCACCCCTCTCTGCAGGTTGGAGAATGGCTGTGGGAATGCGTCTCCTCAAATCAAGGTGCCTGCCCTGCCTCTTGTTTTTCCCTCTGCCTGGTCCAACCTCTTCCCTCTGCCCCTCCTGCCTCCATGCCCAAAGGGTCCTTGATCTGTGATGGGTGCATCAGGGGAGGTCCTCTTCGAGAGCTACAAGCTTTAGGGGACACTTTCATCCCTTCCCTAAGGGGCTTTTATTCCTTTGGGAGATGGTTTGTGCCTGCGTTTGTAGCTGGGAGACGAGACGGATGGTTGGGTTCACCCTGGGACACAAGGGTTTCTGGTGGGTGGTACTGTAGGAGCTTAGAAAGTAAGATGGCCCGTTCTGGGGTCCAGGTGGCCAGCCCACTCCTAGCTGGGGCTGGGGAGGGATGAGAAGCTGTGTCTGGTGCTAAGATTTGGTTGAAGACTAGTGGGAGAAAGGTCTGAGGAGAAGGTAGGGTGGGAATGATGCATTGGAAGAGAACCAAGTCAGTACCTTGGCTTCAGTCAGCCCTGTCAGCTGGAGGCTCTCACTGGCTCCTGTCTGCTCTAGTCAAAGTTGGCCTCACCTCAGGACCTTTGCATTTAGCCTTTGCACAAACTTCTCTTTGGTTGCTCCTTTGCTTTCTCGCTCTTTGTTCTGAACAGAGTCAGAAGGTGACTTCCCGAGAGGCCCTCCCGTTACCCATCTGAAGCATCCCCATGTGTCCTCTCTGGTTCCTTCCAAGTATTCTTACCTGCGGACTGTTTCCTTTGTTTGCTAAGGGACCTTGACTGTTACCTCAAACTCCTTATACCCAGGGGTCCCCTCATCCTGCTCTTTACTAGGCTCCTCCCACACGGCAGAGCTCGGGGTGTGTTGTACGTACGTTCCTGTCTGTCACATCCTGTCAGGATCTCTACTTGTTTTACGTACTGCGTGTGACTGACACCCGGGAATCAATGTCGGTCAGCCAGCATGTCAGATACTACGCTAGATGCTGGGTGGTGTGGCCATGGGTTCACAGTCACTTGTGGGCCAGAGCTGTGAAATAGTCTCCCGATGTGTGAAGTCAATGGAGCCTGAGAAGGCAAGAGGAGAAAGCCGACTTACTGACTTACCATGAGGGCTTAGAGAAGTGTCCCGGGAGCTGAGCTGAGGACAGATCGGGCCCCAGGGCAGCATTGGAGGTAGAGAGGAGGCCAGGATGGTGGGCAGGGGCCAGATTGTCTCCTCCCAGGGTCCCGGCGTGAACCGTTGAGAGGTTGGAGGAGACAGTGATGCCTTCTGTCCCTGGCTCAGCGTACCTCTCTCGGCTCAGGGGGGATGAGAGGGAGTGAGTGGCTGGGCCTGAGGGGTGGGGGTGGGGTTTAGTGAACTACTGTAGAAGTTCAGAGACCATCCTAGGAGCTGGAGAGATGACTCAGTGATTAAGAGCTCTGACTGCTCTTCCAGAGGTCCAGAGTTCAATTCCCAGCAACCACATAGCAGCTCAACTATCTGTAGTGAGATCTGATGCCCTCTCTTGGTGTGCAGGCATGCATGCAGGTGGAGCACTCACATACATTAAATAAATACTGGGTGGGAGAGAGGGCACTGGGGGCTCATTTAAATGAGGAACCCAGAAGGAAGTGACAAGGTCTGGGGAGCAGGGAGGAGCCTGAACCCAGAATTGCAAAAAGTAGTGAAAGCAGGTTGTGAGAAGGGTGCAAGAAGTTTGGGGCAACAAGACCCACCGTAAGTAGGCCAGCCGTCAGGAAAGGTGTCTGGTCTTGGCAGCCCACTCTGTCAGGACAGCACTTGGAGGACAAGGGCACAGAGGGAGCATAGCAAGTTTCTAGCCCCGTAACAGTTGCTGTGTGGCCTCTGATGTACCACTTAACTTCTCTGAGTCTCGTTTATCACGTCCATAAAATGAGGATTAAAAATACTTTTCTCCAAGGGCTACTGTGACTGTTTCAGTGCCCAGAACAATGCCCACTTTGTAGCAGATGCTAAGTGAGGAAAGGAGAGAAGAAACTGGGTCCAGGCATTTTTATCCCAGAACAGCTCTGGCCCTGTTTGTGGAGGTGGCTGAACCGTCCCCCTCCCCTGCCCCGCCCCACGGATGACTGGCCTGCATCTGACCTCTGTGTCTCTTCCAGTCTGGCTCCCTGCCCTCCCTGTGCTTGGATTCAGATGACCAAGCAGCAGAGTCCCTTGGCCTTAGGACGCTTTGGGGTCGCTGCAGGTGGTGACAAAGGCCCTCCCTGTCTCTCCCTGCCTTGTTTCTGAATGCTGGAGCCTTGTCCTTTTTTTGTCTCAGGCCCGGAATGCACCTGTTTGGCTCCCTGGCCAGGAGGAACCCCTCCCAAGCAGCACTGGTGGTGCCATTCGAGTTGGGGACAAAGGTGGGTGACTGAGCAAGCCAAGCGTGGACTGACGTCAGCATTGCTGTCTCTGCCTCCCTTGCCCAGCATGAGGGGTGGCGAGGAATGTGGTTTTCTTCAGGGCCTTTGCTATAGCTGCCAAGCAGGTGGGGACCTCTGCTCCTTCCCTAGGCCCGGGGCTCCCCACTGGACCCTCCCACCGACCTGGTGGACTTCTCCTTAAATTCTCTTTTCTGACCTCTATGGGAGTCCTGCTACTGATCTATGGCCCTGCTCCTCATCTCAGCCCTTCCTCTTCTCCAGTCCCCTACGACATCTGCAGACCTGACCACTCGGTGCTGACTCTGCAGCTGCCTGTGACGGCCTCCGTGAGAGAGGTGATGGCGGCTCTGGCCCGTGAGGACCATTGGACCAAGGGGCAGGTTCTGGTAAAGGTCAATTCCGCAGGCGGTAAGTTGTGTCTCTGGATCGACACTCCATCCTGGGAGGGCGCCCTCAGATCCACACCGACACCCTTGCATTCATGCCCTGTGGTAAGATTACCACATCTCCTCTGGCTGTGACTCCCTGAACTGGGAGTGCGAGCCCTCTGTTTGAGCTCATCACCTGGAATGCCCAGATAATGAGATGCTGTGCCTCTCAGAGCATCTGTGAGGCTTGAATGAGGAACGTGTTTAGAACGGTGTCTGATACGTGTCACTCTCAGACAATCATTTATCCCTAATCACCGTCTCTCAAGGGGAAATTTCATCCCATTTTTTAACCATGGAAACCAGAGTTCAGAGAATCTGGCATATTCCCTGAGCTAATAGCATTAGCGAGCATGTGGCTAGTCTTTGGTTTTAGATCGTCCTCATTCATTAAGTCCTTCAGCAGATTTCCTGGTTTGCTTTTCTTTTTTTTCTTTTCTTTCTTCCTTCCTTCCTTCCTTCCTTCCTTTCTTTTTGCAATAAAGAGTATGATCAAAATAAATTTAGGGAGGCAAACACACACTTCATTTTACAGCCCATCGTGAAGGGAAATGAAGAGATTCAAGGCAGGAACCAAAGCAGAGGCCTGGAGGGGTGCTGCTTACTGGCTTGCTCCCCCTAGCTTGCTCATCCTTTCTTACACCACTCAGAACCACCTGCCCAGGGTAGCACTGCCCACAGCAGGCTGGATTCTCCCAGATCAATCGTTAATCAAGAAAATGCCCCCACAGACTTGCTACAGGCCACTCTGATGTAGGCATTTTCCCAAATGGGGTTCCCTCTCCATGATGGGCCTAGCTTGTGTCAGGTTGACGAACCAACTAGCATAGCAAACACTTTAAAAATTGGTTTCTTTTTTATAATTTTTATTTTATGTGTATGGGTGTTTTGCCTATATGTATGGTCTGTGCACCACCATACATGTGTTTGAGTCCCATGAAAGTAAGAAGAGAGGGTTGGATCTCCTGAAGATGGAGGTACAGACAGTTCTGAGACACCAAGCAGGTGCTGGGAATCGAACCCAGGTCCTCTGGAAGAGTAACCAGTGTGTTTAACCACTGAGCCTCCTCTTCAGCCACCACAACAAACATTATTGAGGCTCAGCTATGTAGCCACAATGTGTTAGGTGCTTGGATTACTACAGAAACTACAATGGATCAGCTGGATGGTGACAACAGACTGGACTCTCAGAGCTATATGAGAATTCCAATTTAACCTCTAACCAGCTGGGGGACCCTGGGCCTCTCTGAGTCTCCATTCCTTGTCTGTCCAGTGGGCACTATCCCTGTACTGTTATGAGAGACAGCTGGAGTTGTTAGACTACAGATACCTGCAAGGCATGTCACCCAGAACCTAGTGCATTTCTGCCTAGACGATCATCTAGGTTATCAGGACCTGCTCTTGAAGAATTTGGTATGTTAAAAAGCCACTGTTATCCTTGAAAAATGTATCCTGGGCCTCATGGCCAGAGCCCAGCAGTCAGGAATTGAAGTTCACAGGGCCTCAGGCGAAGATAAAAGCCCTCTCTCCCTTCCAGAGTGAGCAGACTCTGTAGCACACCTGTCTGCTCAGCTCTAGGAAGCACTGCCCCCTCGTGGTTACCTGGTGAATTACCGCTGGCCAAAGTCTAGTTTATTGAGACCCTACTGTGTGGCAGTCATTTTCAGATCACTGATGAACACCTATCCAGTAACCAATGTTCTATTACAAACCTCCCTAAGTGTACATTTGCTTATAAGTTACATATAAAAACCGCATTGTTGACATGTGATTATAAAACTATACAGAAACTAGAAATGCAGATCAGGTGAGAAAATGGATTAATCAAATAGAGGAGCTGCTTCTTCTCTGGACACATGGGTAGTCTTGTATGCTGGACTTGGGAAGCCACTGGCCAAGGGCCCGGAGACTCGAAGACTCAACACCTTGTCCAGTCCACAACTGATGAAAGCAACACCAAGAGGTGTATAGGGCTTTTCCTAATTGTTGGAGGGCCTTTTATACACATCATTTACTTGCAGTAGCCATGCTTCTAAAAGTGACCCAGGGGGCTGGAGAGATGGCTCAGTGACTAAGAGCACTAATTGCTCTACAGAGGACCAGGTTCGATTCCCAGCACCCACACTAACAACTCTGTAACTCCAAGATCTGACACCCTTACACAGACATACATGCAGGCAAAACACCAATGCAAATAAAATAAAAATAATTAAAAAAAAGTGACCTAGGGCGTTGCTGGAGTGAGTCCTACCATCTTTGATTAAGGAAAGAAGAAGCAGAGGGTCAGGGAAGTTGAAGTCTTCCCTAAGACTGACCAGTCTCTGGTGCTGCAGGCAGTGTTGAGGTGTAGGCTTGTGCACCTGTACGTCTGGAGTCTCTACTCAGCCACTGCCAGAAGAAAACTCTCAGATAGGCAGGGGCCTCCAGCTGGCCCCTGGCCTCCCTCCCAACCGCCTCCTCTCAACACTGCCTCTTGCCTTGGCAGATGTCGTTGGCCTGCAGCCAGATGCCCGCGGTGTGGCCACATCCCTGGGGCTCAACGAGCGGCTCTTTGTTGTCGACCCACAGGAAGTTCATGAGCTGGTAGGGACTGGCAGGTTGCCAGAGCCTGGGGAGCTGTGGGAGGCAGGGTGGGTTCTGGGGGAGGGCCACAGAGGAGAGAGGGGCGTGTTCGGCTCTGGCTGCTCCCGTGTCATCGCGGGGAAGAGAGAAGGAAGGCCTCAGCATCTGTGGAGAGGCTGAGGAGAAGAGGGGCTACCCTAACTCCAGAACCGCAGGGGTTCAAACTGGAGTTCCAGCACGAGGGAGTCGTCAGTACCCCTCAGGAGAGCACATTTTCCAGACCCAAGAAGCCCCTCCACTTCAAGTGCCTTGTCTGTCCACTGCCCTTCTGACCACAGGTAGAGCCTTTGTCCCAGGTCCTCCCCGTATCTGAGCACTCTTTCTCCGGCAGACCCCACACCCCGAGCAGCTGGGGCCCACTCTGGGTTCTTCCGAGATGCTGGACCTAGTGAGCGCCAAGGACCTGGCAGGGCAGCTGACAGAGCTTGACTGGAGCCTCTTCAACAGGATCCACCAGGTGCAGGAGGTGGAGACCAGGAGGGGGCGTGGCCAGGACTCCAGGCCTAGCACGCTGACCAGGTCTCTGCCCCATCCAGGTGGAGCTGATCCATTATGTGCTGGGTCCCCAGCACCTGCGGGATGTCACCACCGCAAACCTGGAGCGCTTCATGCGCCGCTTCAATGAGTTGCAGTACTGGGTGGCCACCGAGCTCTGTCTCTGCTCAGTTCCTGGGCCCCGGGCTCAGCTGCTCCGGAAGTTCATCAAGCTGGCTGCCCAGTGAGTGCCTGTTGGGACAGTGTGCTCTGCGGAGAGATGATGGGGTATAGAGGGATAATGGGATGTGTGGAAACAGTGGCCCTGTGTTGCCAGCCCTGTGGCCGACCGCCCTAACCCCCTTCCCTGCCCACTGTGTTGCCCAATCTGCCTTCTCTTTGTTCCCGGGTCCCCAAGAGCCTTTGCTTCCTAAGCCACTCTGCAAAGGCAGCGCTGGGGACATGGCTGTTTCCTCTGAGGGTACCTGGGTCTTGTGCTCACAGCCTCAAGGAGCAGAAGAATCTCAACTCTTTCTTTGCGGTCATGTTTGGCCTCAGCAACTCTGCCATCAGCCGCCTGGCCCACACCTGGGAGGTAGGTGCCCAGGAGGATTCAGTGCCAAAGCCAGGCCTCTGCCCTCCTGGGGGATGTCTAGGGTGACTCTCTCTTCCCAGTCATGGCCCCTCATCTGTCTTACCTTTACAGCGCCTACCCCATAAAGTACGGAAGCTGTACTCTGCCTTGGAGAGGCTGCTGGTAAGTGCTGGGCCCATCTCTGCCATTTCTGAACACTGAGTCTTGGCCTTCCACAGCTTTCAGTGCCCACCTAGGGCCTGGATCCCTCTGGCCTGTGGTTGTAGAAGCTGGCGGAGGGTGTGTGGCGTAGTGATGGGGGGCCTTGTGGTATACTGTACCCCTTGGTATTCATGTAAGGGATATTTGCCCTGGATCTGAGACCACGGCAGGTACAGGGATGTCCTGGGTCTAAGATTCAGGTGTGACTAGCTCCTCTGTCCAAGGGTTCAGGCTGATGGCCAAGCATGACAGCCAAGACAGGGCTGTGGTCTTCTGTTCCTTGAGGCTGTGAGCAGGAGACCCATTGTACGTCAGATAGGAGGGTCGTTGTCCCCTTGAGGACCCTTGAAGGGCTTGCAGGCTGAACCATTAAGACAAAAGTGAGGAATGGCGGCAGCTGAGCTTCTTGGAACCTTTGAAGGTTTTGTAGAGTCTAGAGAGAAGAGCGCCAAGGTGTTTTCAGTCTTACGAGTTCTCTAGAAAACTGGTCATCTCTTGGAATCCAGGGGGTTCAGAAGAGTACAGCCACCAGAGAGACACAGACCCTGCCTCAGTGAGACCCTGTAGGAGGGGGAAGCTGGCTTAAAGCCTCTCCTAAGTGGCCTGTGACCCAGGAGAGGATGGGTCTGTGGTAGGCTCTCGTGTGCAGATCTCCCTCAGGGAAGCTTTTTCTCCTCACAGGACCCATCGTGGAACCACCGAGTATATCGGTTGGCACTCACCAAGCTCTCCCCTCCCGTCATCCCCTTCATGCCCCTGCTACTCAAAGGTAGGACCCGTGCTCCCTTCTCTGCTTCCATCCTGGGAAGATTCATGTTCCCTCAGCACTCTCTGGTGATGACAGCTGAGGGGCTGGTATTCAGGGAGCACTGAGCTAAGTTAGGAGTTAGGACAGGAGCATAGTAGGGCTGCGCCGAGAGCTGTGGTTGAAATCCCAAGAGACGTCAGCGCATTGGAATGACGTGGAGGTTGCTGGAGGCCGAGAATGTGGGTGGGACAGGCCCTGTGATCCCTGTGGTCCTTGTGGTTGGCCCCTCACCTTTCCTGGGGGAACCTGTAAGTGAAGTCATCCCTTTGCAGATATGACCTTCATCCACGAGGGAAACCACACACTCGTAGAGAACCTCATCAACTTTGAGAAGATGGTGAGTGCAAAGAAAGTGGGCTTCCGCTTCCAGTGTAGGTTGTCAGCATGACAATTGCCCAAGAAGGGTCAGGGTAGGGTAGGGGTCAGCTGATAGAATATGAACCCCGGTGTGCATGCAAGTGATACAGGAGGCTGAGGTAGGGGGATTCTGTGTTTAAGAATAGCCCGGGCTGTAGAGAGACCTTGTTTCAAAAAAAAATTAAAGGGGCCAGAGAAATGGCTCAGTGGTTAAGAGCACTGGCTACTCTTCCAGAGGTCCAGAGTTCAATTCTCAGCAACCACATGGTGGCTCACAGCCATCTATAATGTGATTTGGTGCCTTCTTCTGGTGTGTAGGCATACATGCAGACAGAACACTGTATACATAATAAATAAATCTTTGCCAGGCAGGTGCTGGCGCATGCCTTTAATCCCAGCATTTGGGAGGCAGAGGCAGGCAGATCTTCATGAGTTCGAGACCAGACTGGGCTACCAAAAGAGTTCCAGGACAGCCAAGATTTGTTACACAGAGAAATCCTGTCTCAAAAAAATAAATTAGAACAGAATATTTATCTTTAAACTTTTCAAATTGATTTTATTGAGCTATACATATTTCTCTGCTCCCCTCCCCTTCTACCCTCTCCCATGGTCCCCATGTTCCCAATTTACTTAGGAGATCTTGTCTTTTTCTATATCCCATGTAGATTAGATCCATGTATGTCTCTCTTAGGGTCCTCATTATTGTCTAGGTTCTCTGGGATTGTGAATTGTAGGCTGGTTTTCTTAGAACAGAATATTTATTATTAAATCACTCCTCCCTTATTCTACTGCACATGGGAGGGAGGGTCTGCCTTCCTATTGGAACTACTGGAATGACAGTCCCAAGCATCACACTGTTCAGTAAGAACCCTTATCTCTTAGTCTTCCCTAATTGCCAGCTGCTTCCCTGTCTTCCAGCTACTGCCTTGTTGCTTTTGAGCATCTGGGTGTGCTGGGTTGAAGCAGCCTTCACCCTGTCTTTTATAGACCCTTAGTCCCTAACACAGTTTAAAGGGGGCTTGACTCCCAGCTTCCCATATGCAGGCCACGCTCTGGGCTCACAGGCAGATCTCATGTCTTTGTATCACCCACAGCGAATGATGGCCAGAGCCATGCGGATGCTCCACCACTGCCGGAGCCACAGCACAGGTAAGAACTGGTCCCTCAGTGCTCCCAGGGAGGCTCAGCATGGCTCTCTCCCTGACTCTTCCCTTTCACCCTACCCAGTGCCTCTGTCACCACTCAGAAGTCGAGTTTCCCACATCCACGAGGACAGCCAGGCATCAAGGATTTCCACTTGTAAGTGATGGGACAGGGGTACTGGCAGTAGTTGGCATAGCCAGGGGTGGAGCCGGGTGCTTTTGTACAGTCCATTGGCACTGTATGGGACAGGTGCTACCTCCAGCCTGTGTATTTATCTGATATGCGTTGTATGTGGTTAAAGAATAGTCATAGCATACGGATTGTATCACAATGCCCATCCCATGTTCACAGATACTCCTGCTGATAATAAATTGAGCCTGTGGCTCAGTCCAGGTAGAACACAGATGACAGCTTGGTTTCCACTGTCCACTCTCTCTCCCCCTACAGCTGCCACTCTGGTGAATTTGAAGTTACTCTCTCTGTCTTGTATTTTATATTTTGTTTGTTGATTGATCGATTGATATTTGAGACAGTCTTACCTCGTAGCCCAGGCCAGGATTCCAAGTTTGTGCCATAACCTGTGTTTTTTTGTTTTTTTTTAAATAGCCTTATCTCATACCCACATGCTTCATACATATTACAATAAACTTTGTTCAGGTTTTATTTTATTTGTTCATGTATGCATACATGCACATGTATATGTGTACATACGTATGCAGTGGTCAGAGGACAGCCTTGGGGGTTGTTCCTCAGGTACCCACCCTCTCCTTTTTGTGAGACAAGCTCTCTCACTGGCCTGGGATTTACCAAGTAGTCTAGGCTGGCTAACTGGCCCCAGAGATCTGCTTTCTTCTACCTTACCAGCATGGGGATCATAGACTCTTGCCGGTTCTGAGGTTTGGACTCATATCTTCATGCTTGCAAGACAAACAGTTCACACCCTGAGCTATCCATCCAGCCCTTGGTTGATTTGTTTTTGTTTTCTTGACCTTTTTGAGGCAAAGTCTCTGCTGGCCTAGCGCATGCTATGTAGCCCAGGTTGACTTCAAACTCATAAAGATCCCCTTGTCTCTACCTCCTTGGTTCTGGAGTAAGGCACACACCACTATTCGTGGCCTTTTTTTTTTTTTCTTATCTTTTTGAAACAGGGCCTGGAACTGTCCATTCTCCTGCCTCAGCTTCTGAAGCTTGGGATTATAAACATGCACCACCACATTCAACCTGTTTTAGTTCCCTTTGAACTAGAGAACAGATACTGTGTCCTTGGAATCCAATGGTGGTGGTGAGGACTAGTGTTAAGAGGATACAGGGTTGGGAATGGGAGCCTGAGAGCTGAGGCTGCTCGCTGGAGAGGGCAACGGTGGGTTTGGTGAGGTGGCGATGGTGCCCTCCTGATGGCTCTCCTTTCCCCTAGGCTCTGAGCAGTCCCTGAGCACCCGGAGTCCAGCCAGCACCTGGGCTTACGTCCAGCAGCTGAAGGTCATCGACAACCAGCGGGAACTGTCCCGCCTCTCCCGGGAGCTGGAGCCATGAGGAGGGACTGGACGGAGCGGGCACTTCTCTCAGAGAACGCCAGAGCCTGTGGGGCCCTGAGAGGCTCAGAGGCCAGCCACAGCTGGGCAGGGCTCTCCGTGGAGCGGACTGAAGGCCCTGGAGTGGGCAGTCTAGAGGCAGCTGGCCCCTGTGAGGACTGTCAGCTAAGGAGATCTTTGATGTGGAACTGAGCTGGCCACAAGGCCAAGGAAAAGGGGACATGGAGGCCCTGGAGTGGGCAGGGGAGCTGGGAGGTGCAAGGACTCCAAGGTTCAATAGAAAGCTCTCCCACCAGGCTTTTTACACCATCTGTACATGCAGCTGTGCCGCCAGGCCCCACGCTTGTTTTTCACAGGGGTCAGAGAGCTCACATCTGTAGATGTGTGTGCACTGGGTGGGGTCTTGCCTAGAAGAGGGTGGGGGAGTTTGGCTTTTCTCTCCATACATCTGAGGTGTAGGCAGGGCGGTGGCCTAGAGTGGTGGTCCCTGTGGAGCAGCCTTGTTCCCATAAATTAACAAAGATAATGTGTGTTCTGTGGCCTGGGCGTGTGACAGGGAAAGCCAGTGGAGGAGGAATTTGTTCCCTGGGTACAGAAAGCAGCCCCACCACCTCGGGCTGGGCTCCAGGAAAGCCGACTGTTACCCAGATGGGCTACGGTGCTGTCCCCGGCACTCTGGGGATCATCAGCTCTCTGCCAAAAAAGACTATAAAAGTCCAGATGCAGCTAGCATCCTCTACCTCCTTCTTCCCAGCTCTGCTCCCTCATCTGCCCTTGATCCTGTTGGGTGCTGTGTGTGCTGAGCAGAGGCCTCACGGGGGCAAGGGAAGAGACACAGGCAGAAGACATGAAGGCATAACCGATTTCCAGGAAATACAAATTTATCCTTGGTGATATGTTGAGTGCCCCCCCCCCCACAGGTGCACATTCTATGATGGTTAAGGATCTCTTTCCCATGCCTCTTCAGCACCTGCCTAGGCAAAGGTTCATGCCTGGAAACTCCATTGCAGGATGCTGCCCTCTCTGCTCTCCTTGTTGGGAGCCTGGAAGTGGTAGGCCAATCTGAAAGAAACCCCACAGCCTCCACCATGACCCTGAGTAAACTCTAGGGCAGCCAGGACTCTCAGGCATCTGGAGGAGGTGTGCTTACAGAAGAAGGGCCGGAGGCTGCTAGGGCAGTCCCATGCTTATCCTGTGGTGTAGCAGCCTGTTCAGACTTGACATACTCCACCTCCCTCTGGCCTCCACACACTGCCAGACTCTTCAGCCGGAGGCCACAGAGGCTATGTCAGCTGATCCCAGGAGAGGTCCAAGCTGTTGGCAAGGAGACAGACAGCGCAGGGACATTGCCCCCAAAGAATGCACCAGTGTGCATTCTTCGCCTTCATTTGCCCAGCTGTAAGGTGGACGTGATAGAATCACCAGTGACAAACAAGGCAGCAGGCCTCACCTCCTCCAGAGTGACTGTCACAGTTCTGTGTCTGTGACCGGGAGGACAAGCCGCATCTCCGGGAGTGGAATCCAAGACAGCTCTCGGGTTAGAACCAACTGGTGGGATGACCAAACCAGTTCCGTTGCCCGTGGGCAGGGAGGGAGACTCTGAGGGAAGCATCCTGAACTGAGCAATCGTGATTCCGAGCCCAAGCCTCCGTGAGTCAGGAGTCCCTGAAGCGTTCCTGTCTCCTAAGACCATTGTCAGAGTTTTCTATGGAGGCCATCAGTCAGTCTCAGCCCTTCGCCATCTCCACAGACTGCAGGGCGAACCAACCCAGCCTCCTTCACCTGCTTTCACTTCTTCTCCCTGATCACACTTACCTTCTGGGCTCCAACATCCTGGGCTCCATATGGGTCTTCCAACTGAGGCATCCAGCCAATCTACCTCAGTCTGGACCTCTTTGACCCTGCTGGGAAAGGATTCTGGCAGGAGAACAATGCCCTGGACACACGGGACAACAGACTTGGGAGTGGATGTATGAGCCAGGTCACCGCCTAGGGCACAGGGGACTGATGTTCGGGCAGAGGATGGGAAACCGCTCCACTCTCTGGCTTCCCAGACTGTGTGTATATGTGGGTGGTGGAGGCACCTGAGGCCAAAATAGGAGAGGAAGATTACAGGCTGCTTAAGAGAGACTGAACAGGGAGGGGACCTGAGATCTAGCCTTTAAAAAAAACTTGTTACCTAAAGAGGTAGAACATAGGCGTGTGTGTGTGTGTGTCTGTCTGTGTGTCTGTGTGTCTGTGTGTGTGTGTGTCTGTGTGTGTGTCTGTGTTTCTTGTGAGGGAGAACAGCATGAGTGGACATTGCACATGCCTGTGGCCCTCCCCCTCTCCCGCATGGTTCCCTGTAAGGGCTACAGCCATGGGCTAGGCCAGGCTTGGACTTCACCAGGGGAGGTTATGCTTCTCCAGCCGTGCACAGTGCCTGGTGAGAGGGCAGAGGGGTTGGAGCCAGCCCTCCCCTGTCCTTCAAACCTTATTGCCCATCACAGGAGGATTGGCACACACCTGTGAGCCAGCTCAGAATTCAGCTGGGTGGGAACGGGCCTGCTTCCACAGGCTTGTTGGCTCTGTGTCCCCAACAGTCCTGAACTGAAGAGCACTCTGCTTCCCAGGTAGCAAAAATTAGACATTTTGATGTCGCTGCTGCTGTCGGTAAGATTTGTCAGGGTAATAATAGTCTGAGATTTGAATAGTGCCTCTGGCCTCTCTCCATCACACTTTCACATCTACGGTCTTATTTTTATCCTGATGACAGAATAGGAACTACGGGTTATTTTTTTTTTTACCTTGTTTCATAGTCAGAGGAACTGAGGCACGGAGAGATTTGCCTAAGGTCACCTAACGGCTTAATGACAGGGTGGCTGCAGCAAGCAACTGCATAAGTATCAGCCATGTCCTTGGCGTGTCCAGTGCCGCCTCCCTGGATCCCATTGTCTTCTGTAGGAGTAGCCCAGAGGTAGAGCCCTTTCTCCCGGCTCTGTTGCTAGGATCTGGTTTTCAAGGCTGGAGTGGGGGCCTGTGAGTGGGGTCAGTTGCCCTTACCTTCACAGATTGATTCCCCAACGCCTATCAGAAGAGGAACTTAGAGGGTAATAAAAGCCCTATACTGCCTAGTGCGCCTCTCGCCCACCAGAAGACTGGAGGCCCAAAACTACTCTAGCATGGAAACCCTCCCCGCATCAGCCTGCAGAGCCCTGCCTCTTGTTGAAGATGCTCCCACTTCACCACTAGTGGGATCTGCCTGAATTTCAGACAGCTGTGGCTGTCGGTGACTGGTGCCAGCTCTGATCTTGTTGTTCATAAGTCCCCTCTTGCGCACGTCCACAGACCTGAAAGCACTTACGTATTTTAAAGTTCTGCCCCACAGACAAAGACTTGGTCTCATGTTTGCTGGGACCGTGGACCTGTTCAACCAGACCTGTCTGTACGCCAATTGAATCAGGGATCCCTCTTTCAGATCCTGGACCCTCCCTGTGAACTGTAGTTCTTCCCTAGCCTAGTTTGGTGGCACCTGAGGTTGAAGGGCTTGCAACCCAGGGCAGGTGGTTGTGTCCCTTGTACTGGTGATGAAATTGGACTGTGGTGGGAAGCCACACTGGCTCAGCTGCTCAGGAGCACTTTCTCTCCTAGGCCTGAGGAGACTTCCTCACAGGAGCCTTGATAGGGCAAAAGGGGTGGAGGGAACACAGAATGTGGGGCTTTGGGACCCCTGGAAGCAGGAAGATAGCTTGGTGTGCCGGGTGCTAAGTATTCTGGTTGCTGTACAGATGGAGGCTGGCCAGTGTGGCCCTCAGATCAGTTGGTAGACATGGATTGGGGGTCTCAGAACAGTGACCACATAATTCAAAGTACTCGGCAAAGAGAAAATGGTATACTTGTACAGAAGCCTGCATAGCCCCACATCAAGCTTGTGAGCACTCTGAGTAAGAGTCCTGCTGAGTTTTTGTTCCCAGAAAGGGATCCTGCATCTTTCTCTCAGAGCTCAGCCTCACATTCTTTTTTTAAAAGCCAAGACAGTTTTTTAAAGATTTATTTTATTTATTATGTATACAGTGTTCTGTCTGCATGTTTGTTTGCACATCAGAAGAGGGTATCAGATCTCATCATAGAGAGTAGTGAGCCACCATGTGGTTGCTAGGAATTGAACTCAGGACCTCTGGAAGAGCAGGCAATGCTCTTAACCTCTGAGCCATCTCTCCAGCCCCCAGCTTCACATTCATACACGATATGCTAACTTAAAAGTGATGCAGTTGATAAGCAAACTGTTATTTGTCTCCTGTAAGATATAGTATTTAAAGAGCCCTCACCCTTTGCTACCTCTTAGGAATTGTCATTTCCCAAAGCCTGCATTAGTGGGCAGGTCTCTGAGTCTGCCTGTGTGCAGGGGTGGATGACTGTTTGCTTGCTTTTCTACTCTTTGATCAGGTTGTCTAGAGAAAGACTTAGTATATAGATATTTAGCCTAGGAACATTCTAATGAATATTTCCAGTGGTCATTTGGGGACAAACAGAGTTGCAATAGCAACTAGGCAATAGCAGTAGAGGGGTCCTGGGACAAAGCCCAGGGTGTTACTTGGAGAGATGGAGTGCTTCAGCAGCTCTGGGGACTAACAGGATGGGGTGGGGGTGGGACAAGGCAGAGCCAGTCTCATCTGACTCTGCCAGGAAGACCTGAGATGCACCCAGCATCCTGCATGGAGAGCCCATGGGTGGAAAGGCCCCTCGTGTGTCTCCTGTGTCCTGTCTTCACACCGAGCAGCTGCAGGTGAAGACAGTCAATGCTGTCACAGCAGTGTTAGGGACTTTGGGCTTCCAAGGAGTAAGCAATGGCTGCAGGCTGCACCTCAGAAGTCAGAAGGAAGGCTCTAACCAGGAGAGTTAGGCAGTGCGACTCACTGAAGGGCCATTGAACCCCAACATCAATTATGGAGGGTCCTTGTTTTACATTTAAAATTCACATTTATTTTTAATACAGATCATGCTTTATGTCTCTATTTTAAATCTCTCTCCTATCTATCTGTCTATCTATCTATCTATCTATCTATCCATCCATCTTCTATCTATCCATCTATCCATCTGTCTTTCTGTCTGCCTATCTATCTGTCTGTCTGTCTGTCTGTCTATCTCTACCTCTCTCAAAAGGAGGTTTTCTCTAGTCATCCTGTCTAAATTGAGCCTCCTCTCACTTAAGACTAGGTCTCATATGTTCTAGACTGGCCTTGAACTTGATACATAGCTGAAGATGATTTCAAATTTCTTTTAAGGATTGATTTGTTTGTGTGGAACTCATCGAGGTTAGAAGAGGTCATCAGATCCCCTGGAACTGGGGTGAGTCATGGGCAGTTGTGAGGACCCTGAACCAAGCCCAGGTCCTTTGCAAGATCAGTAAGCGCTCTTTTTTTTTTTTTTAACATTTTTCTTAGCATACATTAATTATACACAATTGGTTTCATTGTGGAATTTTCATTCATATATATGTTTTTTTAAAAAAAAATAATAATCACCCTCATTACCTGTCTTGTTCCCCTCTTACTTCCACTAAGAACTTCTGATTCTCCTGCCGCTGCCTCCAGAGTGCTGGACTCACAGGCACTCACCTTGTGCTCAGCTTAAGAAGTGCTTAGGGCAGGCTCTAGGACTCATGTGCCTAAGGAGCTACATCTTTGACCCTACTTTATTCTTTAATTTTACTTAATCTAGGGCTGGAGAGATAGCTCAGAGATTAAGAGCACTGACTGCTCTTCTGGAGGTCCTGAGGTCAATTCCCAACAACCATATGGTGGCTCACAACCATCTGTAATGAGATCTGGTGCCCTCTTCTGGCCTGCAGGCATACATGGAGGCTGAACACTGTATACATAATAAATAAATAAATAAAATTACTTAACCTAGTTTAGTTACGCGTGAGGCACTGTTCTATAGGTTCAAGTATGAAGTCCCTCAGTCTTTATGGCAGCCTTGCCGGGGTCTCTTGCTTCCTTTATTTTGCATCTGTAAGGGAAACTGAGGATGGGAAGATGAGGAAAGCTGCGTAGGACAAGGTGGTGAACGGCGGCAGAGCTGGATTGCAGAGGTGTTTCAGCTTCGGGACCAGTGTCCTCGTACTGTGCCCCCAGTGGCCCAAACCAGAGCTTCAGATATGACTATCTCAGAGTGTGTCCTCTGTCACTCGGATGCCAGCGAGCTCACCTTGTAGCTTTTATGTTGTCATGTCTGGCACAGTGACACTTTATTCTTACCTTATTCATGCGTGAATGAATGAATGAATGAATCCATGAGAGAGGCGAGATTCTTCATAACCTGACTCCCTAGCATAATAATCACGGTCATTTTAACAGAGTAAGTCTTCATGTGTGGGTCAGGAACCGCTCCTGCCAGTCCTGTGTGCCGTCACCATCCTCTAGAAGCCAGAGCAGGTCGACTGTGCCAACACACCTGGGGCAAGAAGCTGGTAAGGTGGCTCCTGCCAGCACCTGGCTCCTGGTCAGCCCGGGGCACGTCTATTTCTCTCTTTGTCTCACCTTTGCTCACAGCCCTGCTGGCTCCTGGAGGCTCCTTATCTCTGTCTGCCAGGCCCATCCACGTCTTTGTGTGTTGCTGAGCCTAGGTGCTTTCCAAAGCGGGTGGAGCCTGCAATAGTAATTTTACTTCATCATCACTGTTGAGGAGCAGAAAAAAAAAACATTGGCACAGTTGCCTACCATTCTGTAAGTGTTTCAAGTTATTACTCTGAAACCCAAAAGAGTACGAGGCTATGTCATAAATTTAGAAGCTGATAGAATCCTGGGTTCTGTCTATCCCTGTGTTGACCACTTCTTGAAGTCGTAGTGCCAAAACTAATGCCCTGGTGGTGTGTTGGTTTCATGCTGCTCCAGCGAAGCACTGGACAATGAATATGTTTGTAAAGAAAAAAAGTGGATTTTTTTTTTTTTGCTGTCGTTATTGGTTTTGCTATGAATCGTTTAACAAACATTCATCTTGATACGTATATTTTCTTGCCTCACCCTCTAGAGTACTGGGATTTTAGGCATGCTATGTCTGGCTTAGGAAAAAAGCTGGAGGCTAGACGTGCAAGATGGAGTGGTTCTGTTGCTTCAGTCTTTGCGTGGGACCCTGTGGCATTTGGCATCATAAGGAAGTGCTTGTAGGAACCAGACACTTGTGCTCTAGATGAGGAGGAAAGGCCGCGCTTACCTTCTGCATCACAGTGCCTTAGGGAAAATAACCGTGGGGGTCCTCTGGGAACTCCTTAGTCCCTTCTGCTGACAGCTGACATCAACCCAGTGACCTCCCATGCTCTGCCTCTCAAAGGCCCACCACCTCCCCATCAACACACCTGGAAGAAACCTCCAAACCATAAGCCCTCAAGGGACACATCACAACCCAGCCATCGTGGGGGGCAGTGTGTATGGGGGTGCTTGAAAGTTTAGATCCCACTCACAGTTTCCATTGGTCATAAATACATATGCCAGGAGGCTCTCATCTGGCATATATAACCCAACACTTGGGAGATGGGAGACCAGGAATTCAAGGTCACCCTTGACTTCATAGTGAGTTCAAGGTCAGTCTGGGCTACAAGAGACTCTGTGTCAAAAGCAAACAAAGACACAAATGTACACACAATAGCGAAAAACAGTTCTTTCTTTTATAAAAATACAACTTCAGCATGGATCCCTGGACCCCACTTCCACCTAA